TACCTATGATGAAAATTACAGGCCTCTCTCATCTTTTTAAGTGGGAGAACTTGCACAATTGGTGGCTGACTAAATACTTTTTCCCCCCACTGTATATATATATATATATATATAGTCTGTCATAAACTACAAAATATACAGGCACCAAATGCTGTCACATTAAATCAGTGAATTTTTTGGCAACCACAGATGCCAGCTTTTTCTTTCTTCTCCTGAACACAACACAGAAACACACATTTTGTGGAAACAGTGAAAGAGTGTTACATAGAGTGATTAACATGCACACACATTTGCAAGAACACCCACATACACAAACACACACAAATGAGCTCACACACACACAAATGAGCTCACACACACACACACACACACACACACACACACACACACACACACACAGATTATGTTAGAAACACACATATACACAAGAGCTAGTCTACAACTTACCCCTTATTATCAAACTCTGACCAATATGATCAGTGCAATTATTTTGAAATTTTTATTTATATAATTTTGTCAATATTAAGATATAATATTAATATTAAGCAATTTTAAATACTATTTGAATATTCAGATTATGAAAGTTTTCTCTGCTCCTAAAAGCAATAAATCCAGCATGTTGTCTTTTACAGACTTACTGCATTAGCTACTCTACTGCATTCTCAGCTGGATGCATGTCAGCCAATGAAATTGCACTAAATCACACGGGCTGATGGGATTTGTAGTTTATTGATTTCTGGCTAAACCTTTGCCATTCATCAAAAAGGACACAAAACATGTAATGAAATCTTAATAACTGTTGACGGGAGATTATTCCTAAAATAAAAGTCTGTTGTAATGAAATGATGTAAGAATCATTTGTTTTGCAGCACAAATAACCACATCAGCAGTGCATGAATCAGTGCATGTATGATTGAGCATATGTATGCGTGTGTGTCTGTGGCTAGTTGAGCTAAAAGAAAAATGCTAAATCATACAAGACAAAATAATCAAGAGAAATAATGGCACATATTACAACCCCCCCAAAAAAGAGTCTGAAAACCAAGACAAAAAGGGAAAAAACATGCAAGAAAAATACCTTCGTCCCTCGGTCTGTTCATCGAAGACTCATCGTGTTTTTTTGTGAGCGGACCTGGGGTTAAGACAAAAAGGGGGGAAAGAGAAAAGACAAAATTCAAAAAGATTTTACTGCGCTTAAACAAAAAGAGCAAAAAATTCCTAAACAGCAAAACAAGAAAAATGACAAACTAGCAAGAGATCACGTGTCCCAATTTAAAAGAAGAATAAAAAACAGCAGCCAAAGCAGAAGAGCAAAACAAACAACAAACTCAGAAAGAGAAAGAGAGAGAAACTTCCCAACTTCCCTACTACCAGCTACGATGCTGTCACTTTTCTTCCTGAGTTTTCCCTTCCACACTCACTCATTGTCTATATGCCAGGCATTCAATGACAAATGTCCAGCCATCTTTCTTTGTGCCCAGAGAGAGAAAGTGATGAGACATGTGGAAACACTGTAGCAAAGCTGCGTTTAGTGCAACGGCCCTCAGGAGCCCTCCATCTTAATGTCCTGCGGGACAGTAACTCCCCCTCACAGGATGAGACTGCTGAAACTGTGATCTCTCTTTTCCTGTCTTACAAACAAACAAATAAACAAACGTGTTGTGTAATGCTCTCCAGAAAGCATCTGCCAAGGACATACATTTGTATCTATAAATGAACATTTTATCCATTCGAATTTCCAAACAGTATCAGCATCTTGTGCAAAGTTGAATTTGAAGTCAGGGTTTACTGTCTTTTTTTCACACTGCAGAGCAATGAACAAAAATAAAAAGTGGAATATATTCAAATTGTTAAAAATGACAAGAAACTCGACAACAAACTCCTTTCTATCATTTGTTCAGCAACAAAAGTGACCATGGTAACCATAGATTCTTCATAGTGCTTTGAAGTACCATATTAAAAGCCTGGTACAGTACATGATATTCTAATCATACCCTAGCAACACAACAGTATTTTTTATAGACAAATTTATTTAAAGAATTACTGTTGTAACTATGACATTTTGTAAACTATAGTTCCCTATCGATACTTCACTCGTACTGCGTCTGCTAAAGATGTCATGGAAAAAGCCTTTTTCAATCACGCAGTGAAACTGCACGGCCATTGGTTCGTGCAGTGTATTTAAAACAAACGAAGCAGAGCTGCACGAGCCTATGGCAACAAAGCCCACCAGAGCTCGCCAGAATAGGCGGGGTCATCTGGCTATATAAGCGGGCATTCGCCACAGGATTCTCAGATTTCTTCTCCTTCAGTGATGACCACGCTCTACGTTGATTCCGAAGCCTGCTCGCCGTTGACACGCCTCGCAGCTGGATTGGTACCTCTCTGCTCGGCTGACCCGCTTCTCTGCCGCCTCAGCGACGCAGCAGTTCCGGTCCACTTCCCCTGCCGCCATCCGGCGATTCTAAAAGAGCTTACTAAAAGAGCTTGGCATTGTTGCAAATGCCACGCCGTTACTGCGGTTCAAAATTTTTTAAATGTTTCAAACTCAGCCGGACCACCCCCCAAGCAGCCTCTCTTAAACCTCCTATCACCCTGTTCAACCCTGGCTCAACCCAACCCTTCAAGCGCCCAAGCAACCAACCGCTGTTATAGCGGGAAAAATAAAACACAAACATTTTCAAAAAGAGAGCAAAATTCCTCTTCTATTTCTCACGAGTATTCTGCCCCCATGCGTCCAGTCACTCGAGTTAATCCAACCCCTCGCCACGCAGGCTGAGGCCTGGCAGGTGTCGAGATGGGACATGGGGATAATAAAACGAGGTTATTCACTCCAATTCACTCGAAGACCCCCGCGCTTCAGCGGCGTGGTCCCCACCTTAGTGCAAAGCAGGGACGCTCACGTCCTGCGCTCAGAGGTGATGAATCTGCTGGCAAAAGGAGCTGTAGAAACGGTTCCTCCAGCTCAGAGCGAGTCAGTCTTCTACAGCCATTACTTCCTCGTCCCCAAAAAGGATGGTGGCATCCAGCCCATTCTCGAATCACGCCCTGAATCACGCCCTCATGAAAAGGTCGTTCAGGTTGACTATGCTGAAACAGATCCTAGCGCAGATTCGCTCAGGGGACTGGTTCTTTTCTCTGGACCTGAAGGATGCATACTTTCACATTCAGATAGCCCCCCGTCACAGACGATTCTTCGAGGGAGTGGCTTATCAATACACGGTCCTTCCCTACGGGCTGTCTCTGGCCCCCCGCACTTTTACGAAGTGCATGGACGGCTCTTTCCCCTCTGAGACAGATGGGAATCCGCATTCTCAACTACCTCGACGACTGGTTCGTGTTGGCCCAGTCAGAGGCAAAATTAATATCACACAGGATCCTCCTTCTCAGCCACCTAGAGCGCCTGGGACTCAGGGTCAATTTCGCCTAGAACACGTTGATCCCCAGCCACCGAATATCGTTCCTGGGAACAGTTTTCGACTCACCTCAAATGAGAGCTGTAGTCGCGCCGGAACAGGCTCTGGCCATACAGAGACTAGCGGCCTCCTTCGAGATCGGTGCCACTCACCCTATCAAAACGTTTCAGAGGATGCTGGGCCTCATGGCCGCAGCATCACCAGAGCTACAGCTGGGTCTGCTTTGTATGCGTCCCCTTCAGTGCTGGTTGAAACCACGGGTCCCATCGCATGCGTGGTATCACGGACGCCTAAATATCAGGGTGAGCCAGGCCTGTATAACAGCCCTGACACCTTGGAAGATCTCTCGCTGGATGGAACAGGGCGTGGCCATGGGAATGGTTTGCAAGAGAAAAGTTGTCACGACAGATGCCTCCAACGCAGGTTGGGGGGCGCTGTGCGAGGGCAAACCGACTTTCGGCCATTGGTTGAAAGCGAAAAAAGGGTTTCACATCAACTGCTTGGAAATGCTAGCAGTGTGTCGAGCCTGTCAGTTCTTCCTGCCAGTCCTAAGGGGACACCATGTGCTAATCTGATTGGACAACATGTCGGTGGTGTCCTACATAAATTGCCAAGGAGGCCTCTCCTCAAAGCGCCTCTTCATTCTGGTAGAGCGCCTTCTGGAATGGGCTCAACTCAACCTACGCTCGCTGAGAGCGGCGCATATACCAGGCAAATTGAATCGATGACATGTTATCAAGGAGCAATGTCCCCTCAGAGGAGTGGATGCTCCATCCGCAGACGGTTCAGAGAATCTGGGAGATCTTCGGCGAGGCCGAGGCCGAGGTAGACCTTTTCGCCTCAGAAGACAACTCTCACTGCCCAATTTATTATTCGAAGACCAGGGACCCACGATTGGCCCAACCTCCTTATTTATACATTTCCCCCAATCACCCTGATCCCACAGGTAATCAGGCGAATCAGGGAACAGCGACACAAGGTTCTCCTGGTGGCCCCTCTCTGGAAGAACCAACTGTGGCTATCAGTGCTGACCCAGCTGTTGGTAGCGGCCCCTTGGTCCATTCCATTGAGACGGGATCTCCTCTCTCAAGCGGACAGGACAATATGGCACCCTCAGCCCGAATTGTGGGCCCTACACCTCTGGCCGCTCGACGGGAGCCTTCAAGCCTCCCAGAGTGAGTGTTAAACACGATTTTGGAGGCTAGAGCTCCATCTACGAGATGCCTCTACACCATTATGTGGTCTATTTTCTCCGCTTGGTGCCTAAACCGCGGCGAAGACCCTTCTACCTCCGAGCTGTCAGTGGTGTTGTCATTCCTGCAAGAGCTGCTGAATAAGGGACGCTCACCATCCACTCTCAAGGTTTATGTAGTAGCTATAGCGACCTCTCATGCCCCTATTGCAGACCAATCGGTGGCCAGGAACAGCGCGGTTGTCCGCTTCTTGAGGGGTACCAGGAGGCTGAATCTGCTTCGCCCCCTCACTGTCCCTTCATGGGATCTGCCCACTGTGCTGAGGGCCCTGAAGGGCCCTCCTATTGAGCTGCTACAGTCTACCAATCTTCGGTCACTGTCGCTGAAGACTGCTCTGCTTCTGGCAATAGCATCGGTAAAGCGAATAGGAGACATGCAGGCACTTTCCATTAGCCCTGCCTGCCTGGAATTCGGGCCAAACGACTCTAAGATTGTCCTGAAACCAAGGCATGGTTACGTACCCAAGTGCTCTCCACTCCATTCAGAGCACAGGTCAGTGCATTCTCTGCGCTTCCTATCTCTGAAGAGGACAGAGAGTTATCCCGGCTCTGCCCCATCAGAGCTCTAAGAATGGGCCTCGCCATCCACATTTGCTAGGTTTTATAACCTGGAAGTCCCGGCCTTACAGGCCAGGGTCCTTTCTGCTTGCAGAGACACGCACTGCGTTACGCAAACAAGTCTGAATGAGAGCCCTTGACCGTATCACGCTCAAGCTCTCTGGTATTAGTTTACTTGTCAGCTCTCGACCCCTGGGGTGCCGAAGTTGCATGAGTACTCTGGAAAAATTAACAAGGCTGGGCGTGACCTCAGGGAGTTCAGGCCATTTTAGCCTTGGGTTATTGTTAACTTCCCTATGGGCAATACTTGCTTATGGAAGTTATAATACTTATATAGTCATTCCTCAACCTTAGAACGGCGTGATTGTACTGTGTTCCCATAGCATCTTTAGCAGACGCAGTACGAGTGAAGTATCGATAGGGAACGTACTCGGTTACTAACGTAACCTCGGTTCCCTGAGATACGGGAATGAGAACTGCGTTGCTAGCCATGCTATGTAGCAGCACGACTTGCTATGTAGTCGTCGCTTCAGTTGAAGTAACCTGAGAATCCTGTGGCAAACGCCCGCTTATATAGCCAGATGACCCCGTCCATTCTGGCGGGCTCTGGCAGCACCGCAGCCGAGCCATTGGTTCGTTTTTAATACACTGCACAAACCAATGGCCGTGAAGTTTCACTGCGTCATTGAAAAAGGCTTCAGTTCAGGAGCTTGCAGTTCAGTTTAGCAGACGCAAGTACTCGTTCCCGTATCTCAAGGAACAAAGGTTAAGTTAGTAAACGAGTACGTTAGCATGTAGCTAAAGTATTGAAATTCAGGTGCTGAATGATACTGTATTGAAAGTCAGGTCTGATGTAAAAATGTTATTAAACTGTAGGTTTCTTCTCATTTCCGGTCTCATTCACCCCAATGAAACCGATCAGCTGCTTTAGTTTGTATTGCAACAGTAGCGTTCTGTCACTGGCTTCGGCGAGACACATTAGCATCTGTCGCTAACTAAGGTTAAATGCTAAATGTTTGTGTGGCGACAGCCATTAATGGGTATTATCAGCATGACCCCCTACCCCCTCCCTCAGTACTGGCGGTGGGCCTGTAAGAGACGAGATAGAAATCGTCTCCATTTATTTACCGTTTATCTGCTAAACAGGCTCTCCACACCAATAGACCACACACCACATTTGTCATTGCTGTGTGTATAATTCTCACCCAGTCTGTCCAACACACATAATGCACATATATACAGGACAACTTTATTCTCAGAACTCACTTCAAAAGCTATTCATCTGATTTTTTTTACACTTATACACATTCACAATTACATTTAAAGGGAAAGTGTCATGTTTTCAGTGTAGTATTAATTTTTCCTAACCCAAGTTAATATTGCAGAGATAAGTAAAAGTAGTAGGTTGACTTTCCTGCAAAGTCCAATACTATATAATTTGAAAAAAGGAGCATTTAAAATGAGCAGTTTGTTTGAGCTAAAATTCTGAAGCGTGAGGCTTTGACACTGCATGATTCCGGATGTAGTCTGCTTGAGTATCCAGACCAGCCCAACACAGAAACACTAGCTCAAAAAAAAAAAAAATTTAATTAAATAAATAGTACAACAGTTGGTTTCCAGTAGTAAAAATCAGATTCATTTTCTCCATAGGTGTATTGATTTTTAACAGTAACTTATAAACCTTTAAAGACAGACCTACTGTGAGCTGCGAGGTTGTTAGGTAAGGGATCATGTACATCCAGCCAATTGTGATCACAGAATAACCCCCGACAGGGTGATCAGGACCCCGACACAAAGCAGGGCTTGTATCACCCTGAAGGGGGCTATTCTGCGATAACAACCAGCTGGATGTACATTATCCCACTTATTACACAGCTATTTGCCACATAAGTAAATACTTAGAAACAAAATATTGATTTGAGTTGAAATATTTGAACGCAAAGCTTCCGTGAAGAAAGCAGTTGCTAGCAAGCGGCAAGTTCAAACTAGACGGACATTTAAGGGACAGTCATACCACTTATTACACAGCATTTTACCACATAAATAATTATGTCGATAAAAGATATTGATTTAAGAAAAAAACTGTTTTAAAATCTTACTAGAGTCCGCGATACCAGGATGACATAATAATAAATATAATTGTATATAAAATATAATTGTACACACAATATTGAATTGAGTTTTAATATTTTATTAGCTAACCAAACGCAAAACTTCCACGAAGAAAAACTGTTCCTAACAAGAGTATAGTGCTGACTTCAGCTGCCCGGATGAGCCTGTGTTATCAGCTTTTACCGGTTGTTATCGAGGGATAACATACCTCGGAATGTTGCGACTGACCAATCAGAATCAAGTATTCTTGATTACATAAATTACATACTTCACCTTTAAGTACACAGTAAAAAAAAATATTTTTTCGATGTTGTAAATAAAAGAAAAATCATTAGGAGTACATTTTATAACACAATACTATTTCAGTCTTTCTACTTCAAACTTTTACATATCATTTTCTTTGTCATTTTTAAAAAAATTGATTCAAAGTAAATCCTACACCAAATGTTATTCAGTTTATGCATGCTAAAATAAACGACACATGCTCATTCCTCATGTTGTCGAGTGTGTGCATCTTCTCGCATGTTCCTCTGAGCTGAATCTTCTCCTGAGTTGCACTTAAGCTTTGAGACTCGATCAATGCTGACGTGATTTTCAGTTCAATTGACCATCTCAGGTCAGTTCTTCCAGTAAAGGCTGGAGAGCAGGAGACAGGTTGATGGGAGTATGGAACGAGTGTGCGTGTGTGATTAAGTCTTAGCAACATCAGCACTTTATCGACGCTTAAAGCATTTGGAGATCAAGCTTTCACTATTTTACTGGTAACTGCTTCCGCCTATATGGTCTACAGCCTCCATTAGGGCTCAGGCTTTTCCCAGAAACCTAATCCTGCTGGCCTTTGAAGACGATGCACCAGCTTTAAAACTAAGGCCCAGAATTCCCCTCTAAGTGAAAGAAGACACGAGAGATGCCGTCGGTGTGGAAGAGCAGAAAGCATGATAATGAAGACTTAAAATGGAGGAAAGATCATTTACATGGGCTGAGTCTTGGGTGGTACGTGGGTTGGTGAGCGCCTGGTGTGGTGACAGTCGGAAAGGAAAAACCACGCTCTGTGAATGTGGCGTTACTCCCAGTTTGAGAGATGGCAGTGGGTTTCAAGCGTGCATGTTGAGCCATTGAACAGTTTGTGCAGTAAACACTTTCTTTCCTGAGAAAGTGTGTGTGAGCGAGTGTGTATTTGGTATTTTTTGACAGGAGTGCGTGACAGGAAACCCGGCAGTACGCCATTCCAGTGTAACCAGCAGGTTTGTCCTCCCTGACAGGCTTGCCGTGTAGAGATGTCTTCAGTATATTCTCTCTGTCTCTCTTTCTGCTTTTTTTCTGTCTCCCTCTCACTGTCTGCAAG